AGATTGCTTTAGTCAGGATGGCCATTTTGACAATATTAATTCTTCCTACCCAACAGCATAGGATGAATTTCCATTTGTTAGTATCCTCTTTAATTTCTCTTAAGAGTGTCTTGTAGTTTTCAGAATATAGGTCTTTCACTTCCTTGGTTAGGTTTATTCCTAGGTGTTTTATTCGTTTTGATGCAATTGTGAATGGAATTGTTTTCCTGATTTCTCTTTCTGCTAGTTCATCGTTAGTGTATAGGAATGCCACAGATTACTATATATTAATTTTGTATCCTGCAACTTTGCTGAATGCAGATATTAGATCTAGTAGTTTTGGAGTGGATTCTTTAGGGTTTTTTATGTACAATATCATGTAATCTGCAAGCAAGGAAAGTTTAACTTCTTCCTTACCAATCTGGATGCCTTTTATTACTTTGTTTTGTCTGATTGCCATGGCTAGGACCTCCAGTATTATGTTGAATAGAAGTGGGGAGAGTGGGCATACTTGTCTTGTTCCCGATCTTAGAGGAAAAGCTTTCAGGTTCTTGCTGTTAAGTATGATTTTGGCTGTGGGTTTGTCATATATGGCCTTTATTATGTTGAGGTACTTGCCCTCTATACCCATTTTGTTGAGAGTTTTTATCATGAATGGATGTTGAATTTTGTCAAATGCTTTTTCAGCATCTATGGAGATGATCATGTGGTTTCTGTACTTCTTTTTGTTGATGTAGTGGATGATGTTGATTAATTTTTGAATGTTGTACCATCCTTGCATCCCTGTGATGAATCCCACTTGATCATGGTATATGATCCTCTTAATGTATTTTTGAATTTGGTCTGCTAATATTTTGTTGTGTATTTTTGCATCTGTGTTCTTCAGGGTCTGTAATTTTCTTTTTTTTGTGGTGTCTTTGCTTGGTTTGGTATTAGAGTGATGGTGGCCTCATAGAATGAGTTTGGAAGTATTTCCTTCTCTTCTATTTTTTGGAAAACTTTAAGGAGAATGGGTATTATGTCTTCTCTGTATGTCTGATAAAATTCCAAGGTAAATCCATCTGGCCCAGGGGTTTTGTTCTTGGGTACTTTTTTTATTACAGCTTCAATTTCATTGCTGGCAATTGGTCTGTTTAGATTTTCTGTTTCTTCCTTGGTCAGTCTTGGAAGGTGGCAGTTTTGTAGAAAGTTGTCCATTTCTTCTAGGTTATCCAGCTTGTTAACACATAGGTTTTCATAGTATTCTCTAATAATTCTTTGTATTTCTGCAGTGTCTGTAGTGATTTTTCCTTTCTCATTTCTGATTCTGTTTGTGTGTAGATTCTCTTTTTTTCTTGATAAGTCTGGCTAGGGGTTTATCTATTTTGTTTAATTTTTCGAAGAACCAGCTCTTGCTTTCATTGATTCTTTCATTCTTGATTTCTTATACAACTTGAACATGCAGTGAATTTGAATGCATAGTTTTTTGTTTCATATATTTATCTCCCTGCGAAAGGATCTGTCTTTCTAAGATCTCAAAGGAGTTCACAATTCCAAAAAGCTTAAGATCCACTGTTTTAGTGTAAGAAAGGGGAAAACCTATATGCCCTTTTAAAAGACAGCATTTAGTTTTATAGTCTTAAGTTATCTGTTTACAGTAGCCTGAAGGAAAGGCCTGGGATTATGTATTTTCTTTGGAATATTTTCATTATAGCTTGTGCCGGTAAACTGAGAAACAAGAGATTTCTATTTGGAGATAAATTGCCCTGTCAACCCAAGCACTGTCACATCATTTTGAAAAGAAAAAATTCTCTTCCTTTTGCCATATTTGCTTAAGGTAATATAGATATAAAGCGTCAGTAGTCATAATAAAATGTGAAAAATTCTGAAGCTTGAACCATGTAGGTAGGTCTAAGTAATGATTGTAGAGTAAGCATATAGTAGTGACCACTAAACTTAAGGATTATTCATGCCTCTCTCTAACCAAAATTGGGTCTCTAAGACCAGACATGCAGCTGTGTGTCCATGATGTTTCCTCTATCAGTCAGAAAGGACTTCTGAATAGGCTGAATAGTGGTAAAGTTTTGTGGGTAAAATTGTAATATTCCCAGAATATCTCGCCTGGTTTTAGTACATATGCATATCAATAGGAGCTCAAGGGTGGAGAGAAATATGACTTTAGTGTATTTGCATCATTCCTCAGGGGTGGAGAGAAGTTCATCTCCATATCAATGGTAATTACCTGGGTAATGGAGGGCTTATCTGTACCTGAGAGGTGAAGGGGAACACCAGTTTTGCTGCTGCTGGAGCAGGAATGTGAGAAGTCCCCAAACTGCAGTTTGTAAGCAATAAATGGATTTTTAACTTTATTTCTCCCTTTGACTAATTTCGGTTTTTAGAGGTATTGTGTTCCAGGATTTCCTTTCCCCAGACTTAACAGTTTGTAGGTTTTTTTTCAGCTTTATTGAGAAATAATTGACATAATGTACAACATTGTGTAAGCTTAAGGTGTACAGTGTGATGATTTGATATATGTATACTTTGCAAAAATTATTACCACAATAAGGTTAGTTAACACAGCCATCACTTCATGTAATTACAGACTGTGTGTGTGTGTGTGTGTGTGTGTGTGTGTATGTCTATGTGGTGAAAACTTCTAAAAGTCTACCCTTAGCAACTTTCAAACATGCAATACAGTAGTACTGTTAACTGTAGTCACTGTGCTGTATATTATATTCACAGAACTTACTTATCTTACAACTGAAGTCTTTACCCTTTGACCACCTTTACCCATTTCACCTTCACCCAGCTCCTGCCCCTGGCAACCACCAATGTAAGTGGTAGAATTTTTTGTTAGGAGTTTAGTAGCATAGCATTTTAAGTGTTAACTTGGTAAACATTTGCTGTATATTCTTTAAGATAGCACTTTATCCATAGCACAAATGGAGCCTAAAATAATTTCTGGTTACTTACCTAGATAAAGCAGGTCAGTTAGCCAAGAGAGCATCATTTTCAAAGCAGGCCAAAAAATAATTACATTTTCGCATTAATTCTTAGTCTTTGTTTAATTTCTACACAAAATGTTGAAATAACTTGCTCAGACTTCATAGCAACATCCTGTTATATAGTTGCTGCTTTTCTTTTCAGTATAACATTTATATCATCTTCTTGTATGTAATTTGTAACCAGTGAACACCCTTGGATGGCAAGGATAGTGTAATACTTAAGCAGTCATATTCCATGTGTCTACCATATAGTTTTTTCAATGAATTAATTAATTCTTTGTATTGGAAACAGCAGCACACAAAAACAAACTAAATTCTCTACCCTCATGGAGCCTACATTCTAGTGAGGCAAGGCAAATGGTAAATAAGTTACTAAAACATATAGTATATTAGATGAGGTAAGTGCTATAGAGAAAAAAAGCAGGAAGGGAAAGTAAGGGATGGGTACTGCACTTTTAAATATGATGGGTAAGGAAAGTTTTAGTAAGAAGGTGACATTTGATCAAAGATGTTAAGGAGGGAGCAAGCCATTTGGATATCTGGAGGAAGAGAATTCCAGGCAGTAGGAAGCAGGTGTAAATGCTTAGATTATAGGAGGAATTGCATGGATGCTTGATCAGTGTGAAGGAGGTGCTGGGGATGGGGAGAAAGAGTCGTACAGGATGATGTCAAATAAGTAAGAAGATGGTGGATTGTGTTGGTCTTGGGAGGCTGTGGTAAGGACTTTGAAAGAATGTCATCAGAGGATTTTGAGCAGAGGAGTAAACTGATCTGACTTACTTTTTAAGGGGTTTAATTACTCTATTTAGATTGCATTGTACAGAGGGGCAAGAGTGGAAGTAAGACTAGTTAGGAGGCTGTTGCTGTTGCATTAACCCAGGCAATAGATAATGGTGGGTACAGACCAGAAAGATGGTGGAGATGATGAAAAATGGTCAGATCTAAAGATAGATTTGCTGATGGATTGCATATGAGGTATTAGAGAAGGAGATGGGTCAAAGTTGACTCCAAAGTTTTGGGCCTGAACAGTTGACCACAGTAATTTAATGAGCTGCGTAAAATGAGGGGGAGCAAGCTTTAACGTGTTAAGGTTAGGATGTTTATTAGACATTCAAATGAAGTTGTCCATTAGGCTGTTGGACATGCAAATATGGAACTCAGGTCTGGGCTAGAGACTCAGCTAGAAATTTGGAGGTTTTCAGCATATAGTTAGTATTTAAAGCCATGAAAATGGATGAGATCACCAGGGATTAAGACTAAACAACAAAGAGAAAAACTTTTCAGGGATTGAACTTGCTGATGTTAAGAAGTTGGGGAGAAGAGGAAGAAGCAACAAAGAAGACCGAGAAGGAGCAGACAGTGAGATAGAAGGAAAACAGAAGAAGTCCTGGAAACCAAATGAGAAAAAATGTTTTAAGGAGGAATTAGTAATCAGTTGTTAAATGATGGTGATATAACAATTAAGATAAAGTCAAAGATTTAATGATTAGATTTAATGATAATCCTTGACAAGAACAGTTTTAGTAGATTAAATTTATTAGTAGAACTATTTCTAGTACATGCTCTTTTTCTTAGGAATTTAAACTCCATGGTTCAGGTAATCTGGAAGATTAGTCTATTAATCAAATAATTATTAAAGAAATATTCACTGATATTCCATCATTCTTTACTTTTCTGTTTTATACATGTTAAGTAAAAATTATGTGAAAAATTGTGTCTTGCACTCAGATAAACATGTAAATATACTAAAGGATTTTATGTGTTTGGAGTAGGATATATGTAGTTCCTTTGCAATTCCTATTATATGGAGTGGAAGCACTTTCATAAACAAATTATCTTGTCAAATTTTCCCTTTTGTATTTGGAACTTTTAAAACTTAATTTTTTAGGAAAACTAAAAATCAGCCTAAGTTCATGATTCTGAGATATTTTAAGTAGTTAATGCCTAATTGTGATTCTTCATACCAAGAAATACAAGAGTTGATAATATTAAAAAATTTCATTTCTTTAATGAAAATAACATATTTTTCTTTATTAGAAATTCATTGAATTTGAAGACTCTCAAGAACAGGAAAAAAAGGATTTACAGACACGAGTGGAATCTTTAGAGTCTCAAACAAGACAACTTGAACTCAAAGCAAAAAACTATGCCGACCAGAGTAAGTAGAAACACCTCTCCTAAGCACACATCAGAGTGGGCTCTTAATGTGCAGTGGCTCCTCCTGACGGTTCACTAGGGCTTCAGATACATCTTGGAATTGTCATCCCTGAGTCAAGAGTGAGACCTGAGAGCTAGGTTTAGTCTTCCTTTGTTCACATTTTCACATGTTACCCATTGCAAGATAAATTCTAACCGAAATAAGCAGGTGACGAGAGGCAACAAAGGGCCAGGCAGTTTATTTGAGCGCAATCCTGGGCGAGGTCCACCAGTCTGTGCTAATACAGGCTGGGGAAGTCGGGCACAACCAGACAGGCGGGGAGTTTTTAAAGAAGGTAGGGGGAGGCAGAGCTTAGATTTACAGTGGCGCAAGGATTGGCTAGCCTAAGGCACATTTTTCAGGTAGGGAGGGGGCAGCAGCCGGGGACTTTGGCACATCATCAGTGTCCGATGTGCTCACCCCTCCCTCTGGTGCCTCCAACCTTACATTCTAGCCTTTTGGTTATAATGGGCGCCATCTCGATCTGGCTACTTCTGACTGAGGAGGGGTGGCACAGGTAGGGTTGAGGTTGGTGGGAGGCCAGAGGAGGCTTAGAGGGAAGGGGTGAGTACTGATGTACCCACATGGTCTTGTTCACTTCTACTGTCTACCTTCTCTGTTGGTGGCCAGAGGTTCTAGCAGATATGTTGTCTTTGTCTCTCAGGACAGATAGATCTAGCATGATCACCTAGGCTTTGCCCTGTGTAGTACTGTAGTCCGGACGATGAGAGACAGACTGAGGCTTGTTCGTAGCAGGCAACCTGGACAAAAGAATGGAAAGATGAGCATTGGGCGGGACAAGGGGGTATCTTTCTTAGGAGTGAGAAGTAAGGTAGGTAGGAGAGGTATCCGGGGGAACTTGAGATAAGAGAGTATAAGCATTGGGGGTGACTGGGTGAAGAGTGACTACAGCTTTGTTGATTATCTGCAGGTCTTGAACAAGCTGGTAGGCCCCCGATGGCTTCTTGACTGGAGGGATTGGAGTGTTCAGGGAGAATTAGTTGGTACCAGAAGCCTTTGGGAAAGAAGATGGTTAATGATAGGTAGGATGCCCTTGCGATGGGCTTGGAAAATAGGAAATTGGGGTCTAGAAGGAGAGGAGGATGGGTCTTTGAGGTGGATGAGGACTGGAGCATGATGGGTCAACACTACAGGAGTAGAGGTGTCTCAGACTATCGAGTTAATGCCGGTCGACGGTACAGGAGGGTCTGTGGAGGGTTCAGGGCTACAACTTATATTGGCTAAGATGATGAGTGAGCTCGGTTGACGATGACTGAAAGGCAGGGAGATAGAGGCACCAAGCTTGGAGAGGAAATCTCTCCCTAACAAAGGGAAGGGACAGGATGGAATGACTAGAAATGAGTGGGTAAGAGGATGGCTCTCAAACATGTAGCCTACTGGACCTGTCTCTAGAGGCTTAGAGGGGGTTCCCGTGACACCCACGACCGAGACCTGGGAAGGATGTAAATGCCCGTGAAAGGAAGGTAAAACAGAGTAGGCAGCCTCTGTGTCTACTAAAAACGAGATGGACTTACCTGCTACCCACAGCGTGGCCCTGGGCTCGGCAAGGGTGATAGGGGTGTTCGAGTTTAGGCATCGGCTTAGCAGGTCTGGAGGGGAGTCCCTCAGGGGGGCCTGCCTCCCACGAGACTCTGTTACCAAAGGATGACCTTCCCCAACTGGGCACTCTACTTTCAAATGACTTCTCTTACCACAAAATGGGCAGGTTTTAGTCGGCTTGTTTGTTGGGTTGGGGCATCTCTTTGCCCAATGGTCTTCTTGGCCACACCGGAAGCAGGGTCCCGGAGGCTCACGAGCTCCGGACCAGTCTTTGGTGTGATGAGACTCCTGTCCTGTTGGCTGCAGGGCTGCCGCGAAGGCTTGGTTTTGGGACACTGTCCTCCTCTCATGTTCTTTATTATGGGTATTAAAGACTTTAAAGGCCATGATTACCAGGTCAAGGAGTGGAGTCTGGGGTCTCTCTTTTGCCTTTTTAATTTACGTCTTATGTAACTAATACTTGCTCTGGTGAAATCTAGTTCTTTACTAGTTTATGAGTAATAAAACGGTGACTATAAATGACAAAAGACTTACAAATGACAATGGTTAAAGATCTGATGAGAGCTTACTGTAAGACAGTCGAGATAAGGAAATTTGGATATTTTTCTAACACAGAACATTCAATAACAAAGTTTAGCATTATTCTCTTTGACTTACTTTTTAGGTAATTTAGCAGGTAATTTTATATCAGATAAATAAGCCAAATTGGCTAAATACTTTCTCTAATGAGAAAAAATTCCTCTGACATGTTCCAGGGGCCCTCTGGAAAATATCAGAGTTAACTAGATGTAAAAGCACCTTTTTGAATTTGAGTTTGGGAAGCTGTTAAAGTTTTTTTTTTTTAAGGTATTTGTCTAAATAGAATCATAAGTTACTATGAAACAATACTTATCTATTTAACTAGAATGACAATAAAAGATTTTAAAGGCAAATACAGAAGGTTACACAGTTATTAGCAAAGCTTAGCTTTTAGTGTTTTCATATTAAGATCTTATTATCTTAAATATTCAGACAACTCATTGAGACTTTAAGCATGAGAAACTGTTTTGATAAAACAATTAGAGAACTCTGCAATCTTTCAACATTGAGAGCAGACTAACAGTTAAGAAAACTTTGTCTTTTTAACTGAAAACAAAATTCAAATTTTGCTGTGTACTTGATACTGAGATTCATTTGCTTTAATTTTATATAGCATGACCATATCAATTCTTCCACAAACTTTCTACTTCCTTTTATATTGTGTTCTCTCTCTTTAAATACATAGCTGTACTTTAGAACAATTACTTTCTTTTACCCTCAACAAAATGAATTTCTATTCTTTATACTTTCTCTTATTAAAACATACATCCTTTTACCAAGTAGAGAGGTTTTCTTCTTTAAATAGCTTTAATTAGACTTTAAAACTATTAGGAACTTTAATTTTCAGTGAACACTGACAAGTGAGCTATTGTAAACTATTGCACTAGCATTCTTTAGATTAACAAATTCATGAACACACTTTATGATTCCTGACACCATGTGCTTTACAGCATAATCTCTAAGCACAAAATATGTCTACTTAACTTAGCAAAACTCTAAGATTTTAGGTCACCACAAAAATTTTCAGGCTGCAGGCAGGCACACACACTGCAATACACAATCACTAAGATATTTACTTGCTACGCCTAGCTCACCGACCCCCAACAACCATGCCAGACCACTTTCAAAACCGTGGGTGTGTGGTGTAGGGTCGGGAGAGAAAGGAGGCAGGTCTGTGCTGGGAGGAGTCTTGTCTGTGGCTTCCAGAACCGGAGGGCGGGAGCAGCATGTTCTGGTGGGGGAAGAGGGCAGTGAAGGCGGAAGGAGAGGGGGAGGGGTGGTGCAGCCACCAGAAGAGGAGAGGAACAGGAAGAATGTAGGACTTTAAGATGGCAGCAACACGGGGGAGGACAAAGAACTTAAAGATGGTGGCAGAGAGGGGTGGGGGTAGCGAGCTGAGAGAGGTGGGAAACCAAGGTTCTCCGGCGGATCTGAAAAGGAAGAAGGACTGGACAGAGTAAGAGGCTGACAATCTTTAACTGGAGATCGAGCCAGGAGAACCTGAGTCGTTGAACACTTAACATAAAGGTCTGGGCGGGAGTGCAAAATCCAAAAAGCCTGCACATATGGGATTTCACCCTACTTTCCGCTCTGGTGGCAATAATTAGTCAAGTCAGTGAGGAGGCCAAAATCGAAAGGTCCCTCAGGGAGCCAGCGAGATCGATTGTCCAAGGGATACTGAGGCCCAGCCTCAGAGCAAAGAAAGACTAGCTTCCATTTGCGAACTTCCTGGGACAAACATAGAGTAGCCAAATTAGAAATGAGACACTGCGGCGGGGTCTGAGCCTCTGCTTTCGAGGGCTGGTTCCCCATGTCTGCGCCACTCCCCAACTAATCCTGCTGAGAGGAGTGCCCAGCATCCCAAGTGCGCCAAGTCAGGGGAGACAGCCTGGGAGCCTGGGTGAGGGACATCTCCTCCACCACAGGGCCAGGGGTGGGCCAGATGCCCGCAGCGGATGGGCTGGATGCCCAAGGGGCCGGATGCCCCAACCTGGATGTAGCTACAATTTTGAACGGACCCGGTGAAAATGGGTTAGGAAGGGAAACAGTCTGGGGGAAACTGAGGGACTCACTGGAAAATAGTCCACGCAGTGGAGAGCAGGCTGAGGTCCCGGGTTGGGGAAGGAGGGGGCAGGGCTGCCGATGGCCAGTCGGGGCCCCTTGCTCAAGTTCCTTCCTGGGTTTTGGCACCAAATGTAAGATAAATTCTAACCAAAAAAAGCAGGCGAGGAGAGGCAACAAAGGGCCAGGCAGTTTATTTGAGCGCAGTCCCGGGTGAGGTTCACCAGTCTGTGCTAATAGAGGCTGGGGAAATCGCGCACAACCAGACAGGCGGGGAGTTTTTAAAGAAGGTAGGGGGAGGCAGAGCTTAGATTTACAGCAGTGCAAGGATTGGCTAGCCTAAGGCACATTTTTCAGGTTGTGAGGGGGCAGCAGCCGGGGACTTTGGCATGTCATCAGTGTCTGACGTGCTCACCCCTCCCTCCGGTGCCTCCAACCTTACACCTGTAGCTACAGAGAAGACTAAGTCAGAGTTATCTATAAGACTTTCTTCTGCATTTCAGTTCTCAGATTTGTTTGTAGTTAACCTTATGCTCTATCCATTGTGCAGGATTCTGTGCATGTAGATCACTTCTTCTAATTTTGATCAGCCACTCAAAGTTCCATTGGTTCCTGTGTTGCTTCGAGATTTAAAAATGTAAGAAAAACTCCCTAACTTTGAAGTATGTATAAAGAAATTACTGAACTCTCTTTTTCATTCCTTTTTAGTGGAAAACTGAGGGCAGTTAGGGAAACAGAATATCATTTTTCACTTCCTTTTT